GAGCCATCATCTTCCAGTCAGTCATGCACAAAGAACACCATGTCTCCATAGGCCACTCACCCCTAACTGAAGCTGGGAGATCCCAGCAGGTCTCATCCCTCCCTCACCTGGCTCCCACCCTTGAGCATGCTCCCTGGGGAGCCTCAGGTTCATACGTAGAAGCAGGAAGGACTCTCCAGGGTCTGGGTCTGAGTCCTGAAGGGGTACTTTCAAGCCTGAGTTGACAGGACAGGCCACTCCCAGTCTGCGGGTTGCAGAGCCATGGCGGGCTCTTTGGGCCCCTCTCTGTCAGCCCACGCGTTCTCACGGTTGCTGGCTTCCGGGTGTCCTGGGTCAGTCCCTGTAATAGCCTCCCTCCTGGGGCCTGGTCTGTCCCCTGCAGCTGAGAGGGAGGCGTGGGAAATGCGGGTGGTTCGGCAGCCACAAGGTTTGCGATGCTGAGCCTGCCTCCTTCAGGTCTGCTTCCCTGGGGCAAGCAGAGAGGTCACTCCACATCATTATCTGGGTCCACATGGATCTACAGAGGTGCCCTGAGACTCCAATTGGCCTAAGAATCCCACAGCCAGAATGCCTGCCTCAGGAGCCTTTGTGCACCCACCTTCTGTCCTCCCAACCTCAGAACTGTCTGAGACCTCTGAAGGCTGTCAGCCTGTGCCATGCTGGTCAGCAGGGGCCTCACTCCATGGCCGAGTGTGGAAGTCACTAGGGTATCAGTGGCTGCAGCTAGACAGTACTCTGGAAGTCAACACAGATTGGAAGCTGGTCCTCCCTCTGCAGCTGGATAGACCAACAGGACTTGTCCAAACTGAACCTCCTCTCCGTTTTCCCAGACCCTCTTGCAATCCTGCCTGTGAATGGTCCCTGCTGGACCTAGAAAGGAGTATGTACTCAATACACTGCCTGCAACCCTCACACAACTGAAGCCCAAGAGGAACAATGGACATCAATCACAATATCACATAAAATACCCAGAAAGAGCTAGGCGGTGGTGGCACACACCTTTAATCCCAGCATTTAGAGAGCAGAGGCAGGTGGATCTCTGTGAGTTTGAGGCCAACCTGGTCTACAGAGAGTTCCAGGACAGCCAAGGCTTCAGAGAGAAACCCTTTCTCGGAAAAAAAAAATCAAACCAAACAACAATAACAAACAAATAAATAGCAAATAACAAAACAAACAAACAAAAACAAAACAAAAAAACTCCCAAAAAGGGACATCTGGTATCAGCCCTAGAGTGTGGCACATGGGGGCAAGCTATTCTAGCCTCCCTCACTCCATCCTCCGGAGGCTGTACACTGGGCAAGAGACTACTGGTGCTGGCTCTCATTCAAAGCAGTCAACCACTTCCTATGGGGCAACACTGGAGGGTTAGAGGGAGGTGGACAGGTAGGCTCCCTGCTGGGCACACAGGGAACCAGCCTAAATACCTTCTCTCCTGACTGCAAGATCTAGCTCTGACCATCCAGAGGAATGCAGCCTGAGCCAGCTTGCGGCCTGTTTCCTAGGTGCCATGGCCCCTGGGATTTGGAGACCTGTAAAAAAAAAAAAAAAAAAAAAAATCACATCTTGGGAGGGGAGCTGGGTCCTAGGGGTGGAAGTCAGATCTGGAAATAAACTTAGATCCTGGGAGGGACTAGGTCCTGAGAGGGACTCAGTTCTGGGGGAGCACTCAGGTTCCCGGGGGGAAACTTGGTCCTGGGGACAGTGATGCGTGGTCTGATCCACCAATCCTCACTCAGCAGGAAAGAGCAAGCAGCATGGCCAGGGCCTTGGAGGCAGAGTCCATGTTCCCTCCTTCCTCCTTCCCTGCCTCCTTATCTTCCCGGGCCCTGCTCCTTCCTCTGAACTAAAGTGACCTGATCATCCTCAGGGACAAGCTACCCCTCAGGGGCACTGTGGACGGAGACAGTTTGAGTGTCATAGAGCCAGGATGGAGGCAACAGAGAGAGACCAGGATAATCCACAGCATAAAAGGTTCTGCAGTCCAGTGTAAACAACTCCAACAATGAGCAGCCCAGCTCTGAGTCTAGCCTGGCCTCCGCAGGGTCTGCCTGGAGACCGCAGCCTTCCTTTTGGTCCCTCTGCAGAAGGTCATTAGGCCAGTCTTTCCTCTATCTTTTTTTTTAAAAAAAAAAAAAAAGCTGCTGCCAGCACCAAGTTGCCTTTAGGAGTATCAAGGAGGATGAGGAAAAAAACCAAACGAAGCATAAGTTCATGTCACAGGGGACAGAGCCAGGTACAGGCCAGAAGGCACAGTACAAGCAAAAAAGTCCTGTGAGCTCCTGAAGAAGGCACAGCCCATGCAAAGGCGCTGGGGTGGGGGTGGGGCCGAGGGGGCTCTTGCAGGGCTCAGCATATACAGAGGCCCTGGGAGAGCTGCTACAGAGGGAAGGTTGTATCCGTTCCGTGCCAACTCTGGTAGACACCCTGGCCCACATGCCTCCGCCCTTCTCACTATTCTCTCTCCCAGGAAAGAAGGCCGTCAACACAGCAGGTTTAATTATAAGTGGCAGAGGCTGGGGTCACAGCCCAGTGACACAAAAGAGAGACTTCAAAGCCAGTGTCTCCAGCCCTACTCTTGGATAAAACACCCAGATGGCTGAGTTGATGTGTTCTGGCATCCACCCAGGCAGAACCCTGGCCAGTGCGAGGTTTCTCCCAGGGCTGGAGACCATGCTTCCAGCATACAGGCAGGAATGGGTTGGTGCAAGGGCCAGCCTGGGTCTTTCTACACAACCCTGCAGCCACACTGAGACTGTAGGTTCCCAGAAGAATCAAGGATCCAGGCGCAAAGCCTAGGCATGCAAGTGGTTGGCCACTCCTAGACCTGCGAAGCCATTTGGCCATGCAGTCTCTGGTGCAGATAGTCTCCCAGCAACAGCTGAGGGACCCGGGGACACTGGCTAAGTTGCAAGTAGTTTATGCTGAGCTACAGCCTTTGCAGCCAGGACTGGTTGAAGCTGTTGGAACTTCTAGAGGTCTGGCCCAGGGCAGGGTCCTGAACTCAGGGAAGTTGACTTGGTAGGGGGGGAGGGCTGGCCTTACAACACACTCAGGAAGCTTGGAAGTTGCCAAGTAGAGATCAGGACTTCCCTGCTGTGTTTGAAGAACTTGAACATGAAACCAAGAAATAGATATGTAAGGGACTCTGCTTCTCCCCTCTTGGGTTCCGAGTTCTAGACTCACCCTCAACAGGGCTAGAGAGAGGGCTGTTTGGGTGAAAGCACTGTCTGCTCTCACAAAGGACCTGAGTTCAGTTCCCAGCATCCACATGGCAGTCACAACTGTCTGCAATACAGTTCTAGAGGATCTGATGCCCTCTTCTGGCGTCTGCAAGCATTGCGTGCCCATTCAAGCAAATAGTCACACACATAAAAAATGCTTTTTAAAGGGATGGAAAGATCAAATTTTTAAATTAACAAAAACAAAAACTTGAGAAAACTCTTAACACTCTCCGAATACTGGGATTGCAAATGTGCCACCACCCGACAGGAAAGGCATGGGCAGAAGCGTGAGGCAGCTGCCCATGGAAGCAGAGAGCTGTCTCAGTAGTTCCTGCCCCTTTTTATTCAGTCTGGGACCCAGCCAATGGGGCGATGCTGCCCGAATGCAGGATGTGCCTCCCTTCCCCAGTTAAACCCCTCTGGAAACACCATCCCAGACTTGCCCAGAGGTGTGTCTCCCAAATGATTCCAAATCCAGTCCAGACAAGGAGTCTCACATTTGTTTTTCTTGTCTAATTGTTCCAGCTACAGCCTCTAGCATGACACACAGGAGAAGTGAGAATGGGTTTCTGGTTTGCTCTTACATGGAAGGTTCTGTCTTTGTGGAGAACGATGGCCTTTATGGGTCTTTTTATCCATTCCTATTCATTGTTCATTGTTTGGTCTTAAAACGTGTGCATGCATACGTATGTGTGGTGTGCGTGCATGCATGCATGTGTGAGTGTGTGTGTGTGTGTGTGTGTGTGTGTATTAGGGAAATTTATTAGTAAATGTTATGTTATTTCTCTGTATTTGGGAGGTTTTTACAATGTGTCTAGGTGGGGGTCCATGCACACATGTGCCGTGGTCCTCATGTGGAGGTCAGAGAACAACCTGGGTAGTTGGTGTTCCCCTTCCTCTACAATAAGTTCCAAAGTTCTAACTCAAATCATCAGGTTCAACAGCAAGCACCTTTACCCACTAAAAACATTGTACATTGATATTCTCAAGAGATTGGCGTGCAGTTTTGCATTTTATTTATGTATTTATGCTTTTGTGTATTTATTTATGGTCTCTTGTAGCCCAGGCTGACCTAAAATCCTGATCCACCTACCTCTACCTCCCTCATGTTGGGTTTATAGACATGTGTAACTATTCTTGTCTTATTTCTCTTGGTTTTGTTGTTGTTGTAAGACAAGGCCCCACACTGTAGCCTAGGCTGGCTTGAAACTCACTATGTAGTCTCGGTTGGCCTTGGACTCACCACAATCCTTCTACCTCAGTCTCCCAAGTACCGGGATTGCAAGCAATAACTACCGTGGCTGGCTAGTTTTGCCCCCTCCTATCTGAACTTGGTATCCATGCCACACTAGTCAACAGACTTGGGAAACGGAGTCTGGTTGGCTTTTCCTGTGCCTTGAATCAGTGTAAAGGGTGCTGGATTCATCTGTTCGCTCACCCAGGGAGAATTCCTATGGGAAACAGCTGGACTGCAGCCTGGCAGCTGAGATAAGAGGCCTATTTGAGACCTTCATTGTTTTCTTTTTTCCAGTGATAAGTGGGTAGTTTTTTGCTGGTTTTTTTTTTTCCTGTCTCTTCTGCGGTTATGTTCCCTAATTTGCATTTTCTTAGAAAATCAGTATATTCCCAGCTCCCTACTGGGCTCCTCTCTGCTCTCGTTTCTTCACTTCATCCACAACCACAGAGGTGTCCCGGCATGTTTGCTCAGAAGCTGCACTGCCCAGTTGTCTTCCGGCCTCGTGGGTCTCACCTGCCTTCTCTTGTCTCCTCCCTCCACAGATCTCTATGTTGGGCTCCGTCTGTGCACCTGGCCCATAGTGGAACCAGTAAATCCCTAACATGCCGGGCTACACAGTGGCTGCTGCATCCGGAGGGCCAGGGACACAGGAACAGCACATGGCTGGCTGGTGACAGCAGAGGCAGGAGGAGACAATGGCCAGGGCAGGAGAGGCCCTGGTACTGTGGGACTGTGTTTTGTCATTTGTCAATCTTCCTTCCCAGAGCTGGGGGTCAGATGGGACTCAGAGACAAGGGGTGATGTCAGTGTTTTGCACCCTTCATATCTACCACATACTCTATATCCAGAGCAACTAAATCATGCACAAGACAGACAGACAGACAGACAGACAGCAGTACAAAGGCAATGGTTTGTAGAACAGCTCAGAAAGGCCCAGCTAGCCTAAGGCTCAGAGGCTGGGTAAGACTGCCTCCTACAGAGGCCACCTGGGAGTGTGATCTGCTGTGGGCTGGACAAGGGGACTAGACCCAGGAAATTAGCTTAGACCACAAGAGTCAGGGAGTTTTCTGGTTCGTGGCACTATTGATGCAGGTAGGTGGTCCAGGAGGGAACCCAGTTTAGGGAAGTCACTTGGAGACCCTAAGCTCCATCACGACTCTCTAAGGCCTTAGAGTCCTCGGGGCTCTTTAGCAGACAAGAGAAGTAACAAGCATGGAAGACACCCAGTTACCCACAAGTGAGAGCAAGGCTGCATAGGCTGCCTTCACTTCTCATGGCAGAAGCCATGAGAGCGGCAGACAGAGGCCAGACAGCAAGTGTCTTCCTGTCTCTTGTGGCTGTGAGGAGAATGCAGGTATGTGGACCTATCTCATCCCAAAGAGCTGAAGCTGTGTTTATGCAGCTCCGCCCTGGAAATCCCCGGAGGAGGCTGCCAGGAGAGCTTGGAACTCAGAGCAGCGCCCATTAGCTCCTCTCGGGAATCAGTTTTCCTCTCTGGTTCCTTTGCCAATGGCCTCTTACAGTCCTATCGTACTCTGCAAGTGGCTCCTCCATTCCTTTCACATCTACAGAGCAAGACCAGATGGAATTCTAAAGTAAAATTCGTCTCTTCCCTCGGAGTTTCCAGTTTGGGGCCCCACTGCGGGTGGGCGGTGAGGAAGATAGGACAGGATCTTTCTTCTGAGGGTGGAAGTGGGAAAGCAGAAGCCCAGGGCTCCTAGAGGCCTAGCTCACTACGGCAGCCCAGGTGCCTAACTGGTGTGTTCTGTGAGCCCACTGACTCACTGACATGTGGCGGGGCTTGGGTCAGTCCAGAGTTCCGAGGACAGTGCCTGGGGCCTAGAATGCCATTTGTCAGGCCAGGGCTACTGCAGACAGCAGGCGTCCACCTGTGTCTTCTTCTCCTGCTGAGCAGACAGATAGAGGTCCAGTGTAGGGCCCCCAAGTTCTCCCTGACGCCCCACCAACTTCTCTTGTACTTTCCCAGACCTAAGGGGAAGTCACAACTTAAAACTAGCCATGTCGAGGCAGCATTTAGTTCATTTCAGATGCTGCAAGCTCCATGGGTCCCTCAAACCTCATCACCCCAACAGGAGACGTCCCCATGAAGTACTAACTTCCCATTCTCATACCATCAGCCTCTACGGACTACCTGAGACGGTGAATATAGTTACCAGGATCTAGAACCCCCGTGGAGACAAGCCTCTGAACATGTCTGGGAGGGAGTCTCTAGAACCACTTAATTGAGGTGTGAATATTCACTCTAAGTGTGGGTGTCACCAGTCCAGCGGCTGGTGACCAGAGCACCAGCGTTCTCTCTCACTCCTTGCTGACTGTGGATGCCATGTGACTGGCTGCCTCTGGCTCCTTCTGTCCTAGCTTTCCAACGCAGTAGGCTGTGCCCTCGAACTGTGAACCAGAATAAATCCTCACTCCCTCAGCTGACTTTATCAGGTATCTTGTCACTGAGTTAACTAGTAATGAGTTAACGAATATGATTAGTTAACTAATAAAGTACCAGGCTTCACGCTAATGCTCCAATTCCGGACATTCTGTGTGGCTCACGTGTGGGGCCCCGTGTGTGTGGCTTTTGTTCTCACACACTATTTTGAGGCCCCTCCACTCTTTTTTTTTTTTTTATTCTCAGAATAGGAAAATTTATTGCTGTGCTTCCACTGTCAAAATTTAGGATCTTGGTCTTTCCTTCTTGCCTTTGTACAGGGCCAAAAGGGACACATTGGCTACTTTAACAACCTTAAAGCGGACTCCAGGGATATCACCTACAGCATGACCCTTTCGACCAAATCCAACAACCAGAACTTCATCGTTTTCCTCAATGAAGTTCAAGCAACCATCATTGGGCACGAAAGCTGTGATCTTCTTGCCGTTCTTTATGAGCTGCACCCTGACACACTTCCTGATAGCAGAATTTGGCTGTTTGGCTTCAACTCCTACTTTTTCCAGCACGATTCCCTTGGCATGAGAGGCACCTCCAAAAGGATTGGCCTTTAGTGCTGTGCCCAAGTGGGCTTTCTTGTATTGTTTATCATGCCACTTCTGGTCCCGTCGGTGGCTGCGGAGCTTCCTGGCAGTACGGAGACCACGACACTTGCCCATCTTGCCGACACCACGGGCCCCCCCCCTCCACTCTCTTCATACTCCTCCCCTTTGCAGACCTAGGAGCTGCTGGCCCCAACCACACCGGGAATTCTGCTTCCCTAAGACTCTTCCTTGAGGCTCTCTTCGGCATCCTGCCCGTCCCCAGGTGCACATCCGGACAGGAAACCGCAAATGCTCCTCGGATGTTGAGGACTAACAGAGGCAGCAAGCGCATCTCTGTGAGCTCAGGCTGGGGCTCGCCGTCTCCTGCCCCGCAGCTCCGGAGGCCACGCATCTGTCAGTAATTTTGTCTTCATAAATAGCTGTGCTTCTACTTTGTTTGAAAGGCTGCCTGCGCGGGTGGATGGCCCTGGGCTCCCCATACCCTTCACACTGATTTCCTCCTGAAACGACGCAGTGATGCTTGTCTTGTGGGGTGATCATCTTCCCACACAGGACACCTAGACTTTACCGAATCCATGTAGTCTGTGCTCCTAGGGACCCAGGAGTAGAAGGAGGATGCTGATCCTCTGCTCCAATGGAGAGGCCTTTACCCTCCTGAGTAACTGTGTTGCTTCCTTCTCCTGCCCACTCTTTCCTTCTAGGAACCCACCTAGTATGGGAGGTCCTCTACCCCACAGCACCGGTTGGCAGCATGCCACCACTGTAACCCTAGCGAGCTCTGTGTCTGCCTGTGTTCGGAGCATCATGGTGGGGACAGAGTGCCTGAGACCAGACTAGGATTGTGACTGCTGGGTCTACTGGGTCTTCCCGGGACCACCAGTCCAGGGACAGTGGTAAGACATGCCCTACCCCCGCCGGTGGCAGGAGGAAGCCATTCATCATCCCAGAGATCTGGCTGCTGGTATGTTTATCTGCAGGAAGGAAATGAAGCCTTTTCATCTCTTCCCAGCGGCGTCTGGCCCACTCACTCTCCGATCTGTCAGCCAGGGGAATTTTAAATAATGTGCCGTTCACTGTCAGTACCTGTTTTGTGTCTTCGGGGTTCTGTGTGCCTTGTTCCCTGGGTGTCTCTCGTTATTGTTACTTCCTCCTTGAGATAAATCCTGTCATAAATGTATTTCTTGTTGGAGCAGAATTTAGAGGTCTGTCCCAGTAGCGTGGGCCATCTCCTCAGCCCAGAGTGAGCAGTCAGCTACATAAACATTGGGGCCTATTGGGTGCTGGTGGGGATGCCTGCAGGGTCTAGGAGGTCACCATCCTGCAGTGTAGAGGCGACGCCATTGTTTCTCAAAATTTCCAAATGGAGACAATTAGTGGAGCGTGCTAGAAAGAACTAGTTGCCCATGTAGGTCTGGGTACCCTTGATTCTTATCCATAAATACCTCCTGAATCTTGCGGCATTGAACCTCCAGTTTCTTGAGGTGAGGTGACCAGGAATGAGACCATAGGGTGAATGAACTCTCCATCCACTCATCCTCCCATCCATCAACCCATCCATTCAACATCCATCTATTTTTCTATCCATTCACCCATCCATCTATACATTTACCTATCCTTTCATCTATCAGTCCATCCATCCATCCACCCACCCATTCATTCACCATTCATCCATTCATCTACTTATCCATTTATCCATCCATCCACCACTCATGCATCTGCCCACTTAATCACCCATCATTCTTTCCACCTATCCATTCAACTACTCCTCCATCCTCCCACCTACCTACCCATCCATCTACCCATCCATCCATGCACCCATCCATCCACGCACTCATCCATCCATGCACCCATCCATCCATGCACCCATCCATCCATGCAC